GAAACACAGTATTCCTTCAAGAAGGTTGATGTTGCCAAGATTTTGACCGAAGCGAAGGTCGTATGCAGCTGACCTTGAGAATGGTTTCAAATTTTGTAACTCATAAACTGTTCGTAGTGATGCGTGCGAGATTACTTGCTTCCACAGTGTTCATTATCGTCAAACTGTCTGTAAGTGTATCCACTTTTAAAAATATAGAGTTTGCTTAAAGTGGAGCTAAAATACGATGAGTATTTATTTACTGACAAAATATTGAAAATCGGTTCCCGTAGCTCGGGTAAACTGAATTCCATTTCGCCTGTTCGCCGAGTCTGGCAATTTGCTTGCATATATTTAATCGCCGGCCGAGGTGCTTGTAAACAGGACGTCTTCTGCGTATATTCATTCGTGTATATATGTGTTTTTTCTCGCCGACTAATTTGTTTCTTGTTCTCACTTCGATCGGCCCGGTTCACCGTTGAACTGATGAGGGTGAGTAGTTGTTCCTCCTTATTGATAGCGGATTCGGTCCGTTTTCAGGCGAAGACGTGAACTTTTGTTGCGTCATTTGATCCCTGAATTGCTTTGGTGTGTACAGGTGATTCAGTTCAATGTGTCTGTTTACTGAGTCGATTGAAGAGTATCAAACCCTAAGAAATTCTCTGGCGTGTTTTGACCGAGCCTGGTCGACGATTTTCACTGAATTCGAATTCGAATCTCCGTTTTGATCTTCGTGGAGAGAAATCAACGGCAGTGGGTCTTGTCTCCTGACTACCTGAGTTCAAACAATTAAACCTAATATTTTTGGTTTAGCTAAGCCTCAGGAAGTCCCATTTTGTCAATAAATTCTCTTTAAATCTCCTGATTGTTTCGTCAACAAAAAAGTACTCATCTGATGCAACCGATAGATTATACGTGACAACTTTATTGAACAGAGGCGGAAGTGGTTTAGTGGTGTTGATCACCTTAGAACTCGTGTGCGTGAATTCCATCACAACCGTTCTAATTATTCACTTTTTTCGTGTTCTGCGACAGTCCTTTCATTTTCCTGGACCATTCTGACCTAAAGACCGATAATAGACACATCGTGTAATCGATAGAAGTAGAGAACGGTGACTGGTATCACGAGCAACGGACTCATTTAAGTTCGTGTTAGGCCATCTTGAGTTACTGTTGAAGGAATTCAACATGTACGACTGTTATCATAAAAGAGGAAACTTTTGATATATCTTTCCGCTGACTGATTTTTTGTGTTTGATTGTTGGACTACATTTTATTTCAGTTCGTTGAGAAGAACATATCTTCAATTGGTTACCAGCATCAACCGGTCCATTTCACAATGTCTAATCTAAGGACATCTTAATCATCGATGAAGCAATTCAGCACCAGGAAACCATCTGAGGGATTGGTTGTTTTTTCCCAGTGTACAGCCAGTGGTTCAAATAATACCGATATATTTCGCAGTTTGATCAGCTCCATTTATATTTTCCTACAGATTTTGTTCCTCGTCATATATGTTGAAAAACCTAAAGGTTTTCCGACGATTCATCTGCAGACTACTTAGACAAAGCAACAAAATAATGCTAGTTAGTGCGCTACTTGTTGCAGTGTCATATTGACCAATAAGAAGCCAGTATTCGGAACTGGTTAAATTCGCTGCGACAAATTCAGAAATAGCAACAACGGAAAAACACGCAATCTGATTGGACGATGCGCCCTAGCCCAATGATGTTTTATCGTACATATTACTTAACCCGAATGCGGTTGCTGATCTGCAAGTACTACAGTAACACTTGTATGGAATTTTCGCTCAAGTCATACTCCTTGTACGCAGATTTTGAACCGTTAGTGTTCGTTCACATTGGACAGAGTGAAATCAGGTGAGTCACACAAAATATCCGTTAGTCAACTGAAGAACACTGTTTGAAACATAATACGCTAATATATAATCACTTATTGTCTATCGGAGAGCACTGGTTGTGAAATCTTGAGTTCGAAAGACCTCGCCTTTATCCAATAACTTATCTTATACAAAGAAAAATATAACAGTGAACCGATGACAAAATCGATTCTGCATTTCTGTCACCAAAGATTAAACTGATTCAAAACGTTTTGATGCAATGATATTTGTCTGTTATACCATGGCACTTGATTTCTTTCTTCCCTTTCGTCCTCACTCCATGGTCAACTTTTATGCATCACTGGTTCGCGCTGTGTAACCCCTAGGCATGGCGAGGATTGGTGGACGTTGCGAGTAAACGGCAATGCAATAAAACTAACACGACAATAGATACGAATTGAGTTCTTTAGCAACGAAGACCACAACAACCATAAGATCAACGACCGCAACAACGAGACAAACAAGTAAACAAAAGCGATCATCATTTTCTACAACATTGAACTGACTGTCCTCGGATGGTTTGCTGGTTGCTGTCTTTAATCTACCAGTTTCACTGATCAATAAGGAAAGTGAAACGGACCAAAATGAGCACACAGAAAGCAAGTAAACGATAGATATGGCTAGAGAGTAAGTAATTATCACAAGCGTTGTTGTTGATAATAATACTCAGCCGTGTCACTCGGTATTCCAAGCCATCGATCACAGACCGGTATCATAAAGTGACCTATATGAACGAGTTCCCCGGTCGCATCACACGCCGGTTGTTCAAGTTGGATTGTTTTTCCATCCAGTACGTGCCTCGGCAAACATCGCACGCATGGCAAGACCATCCTGCAACACGCCTAACACGTATCCCAATCCTAGATATGCTTACCTCCGGTTTCGTTTGTTGACATTGATTTTCATCTTACTTTATTTCCATTATATCTAGAGTTTTGTTTTCTGGTATGAAGGTATGTTATTCAAATAATTGAATGATGATGCTGACCGTGAATTCATTTGATAGTTTGATCGTGAAACACAACCAAAGTGTTGGTCAATCAAAATTCTCAAACATATATAGGTTGAACTGAACGAACACTGAAATCTCGGTTTTTGTTTAATGCTTCATACTTCCTTTTTATTTATTCAGTTCGCAAATGTTCAGTCAACTTTCAGGACGTAAAAGCTCTATCCTAACACATACGAACACGTAGGAGTACATGTACGTTGTCTAACCACAGATGTTCAGTTAAAGGTATTTTATCACAACTATTGTCCTCTATGGTTCAATCACAAGTTTGAATCAATCGATACTTGAATTTACAACAGAATGTTTTAGCCCAGCCAATCATGATCATCAAAAAGAGAATGCTTTTTGGGATTCTACTGTCCATGGAGAAGGATCTCCACAATTCTGAATTTCCCCAGGAGAATTCAATTCAACTCAAATAAACCGACAAATTACATTGTACTGGTTTTCTCATCATTCGTTGATGCGGAAACCTGACACCATGTGATTCAATATGAATCATTGACCCTTTAGTTCAATCAAAATTTCAGAAAAAGATAAACAGGTAGTGCGAATGAATAAGACGTGATCACTGTTTTTATTGAGTTTGGGCATTATTTATTGATTTTGTCCTGTTTGTAATCAAACTTATTTGAAAACGGTCACTCTGCTCCAATGTGAACGATAGTAGTTTGTCTTGGCAAGTATTTGTCCAACTGGTACTGGTACTGGATGGTCGGATGGCAGTCGATAACCAAATGCAAATAGCCGGTTTACCACTACAGAAAGAAGCAGTAACGGAAAAAGATTTCACTAATCAGGTTTTAACGTGTCCGTTTAGGTACCACTTATTGTGTAAAGTGAAATGAGAAGACCTGAGCCAAATCGCAATTGATTTGATTGACAATTCAAACATATTACGAAAACTGATGGTAAACGGGGTTTGTGTGTGTGTGTGTGTTTGCTGGTATGCACACTGTTCTGGGCACTTAAACGAACAAATTTCCGAACTTGAAAGTGTACACGGTCTGCCAGATCGATCCACAGTTCACTTGCCTGCACGTATCTGTGGGTGCATACATAATCATGACTCATTCACCGTTCGATATGCATCTGCTTGCAGAGTTCACCACTGTGCTCCTTAGTCTTGGAACCTGCCAGGACCGATGCACTGGCTACACCCATGTCTGTGCATCTGTGTGACAAACAGCACTTGAAAAGCGTTACAGCAGCTTTGCCAAGCGATTTGCTTGTTATTATTTTTTTCACTCCTCATTTGTGTGCAGTCAGACGAAAATGCTCTAAGAGTGCCACAGATTCATCCATCAAAGTGCTGAGGTTGGGTCTCATACGGCATGCTCCAAAGGCTGAAGGTGAGGGAGTCGTGGAAGACAGAAACGTGTTTGTGCGTGGGTGACCGATTCAGTGTGGTCGACGCAGGCGTGAGAAACACGGGCACTCTCTTTCGGTTCCTCTGTAAAGACTGTTCCAACAAGAGTGAGCCCAGATCATCTGGCTCATCTAAACCAGATATGGATCTGCATCACGTTTTGTGATACCGTGCCGGGAGTTATAGTTCACAGGAAGAGTAGTATAGCACACCTCTTGTTGTAAGCTTTTAAGCAATGAAGATGAACAATTTTCTGTTAAAAATATAGAAAGGAATAGAATGCTTTACATTCACAGAGTTCACAGAGTTTGTATAAGCTATCATCCGACGTCTGTTACGTGCAAAACGACGGAGACTGTAGTACCGCGATGGAAACAATAACGAGAGCAATTGTGGTGATCTTGGCCTACGAGATGATGATTACCGTGGAGCGGAGCGTTACAGTTTGTGGACACCGGCGATCAGTCAAATTTCAAAGGTGACTCGTACGTGTCACTGATTTTGACTGCACACCATGAGCAGATCGTGCCAGACAATCCGAGACAGTGCATGAATGCGATTGGTGAAAGCCTGGATAACCAATGATCTTTTTTTGTACATATTATTAAATCGCCCTCATTTCTTCCAATAAACGAACTACCATTCCTGTGACCTTTTGTTCCTGTCCCAGGTACGTGGGACATTTCGTGCTAGTGCCACTGCGGTTCATTGCGGTTCCGTGATTCAGTCCGTGATATCTTATGCTTCATTCGTTCCGTGAATCGTATTATGCGGTCCGTGTTCCGAATTCCGTGCGTATTACTACTACTACTACAATCATAACAAATTGGTGTCACGTGATGGAGCTGGAAACCTTTGAGCAACTGAACCTGCAGGTAAGCCCACCTGTGATTGAGGAATGATCGAACGATTCGAACTGGGGTGTAGTATTCGCAAAGGTGGCGCACCGAATCAATCAGCCCTATTCCTTACTGCTTGCTGGAGGTCGTGATCTCTATTCGCTATTAAAGAATCTGGCATTTCCGGATGATTCGGATAAATTACCATTACCTGCCTAATCATTTGCTGTCCATGGAGTTCCAAGCACACGAAAGGGTCAAATGCAACTCCATGATTCGTGCTGATCATGTTTCCTGACGTGACTTCATTTTGCAGCTGAACAAACAGGTATCAGGCTGCAACTATGGTGATCTCCTGGAAGAATAACTATGTGACCGCCTATTGACAGGCATTAACAAGCTGACTCTAAAAGGGAAGTTGCTAGAGAAGAAGGATTTAACTTTTGCCGAGGTCTGCAAGATTTGTGAGCAACATGATGATCTGATGAAAGCGACTTCCAGTGACGCAGCCATACTATTTCGATGGCAGAAAACACAACCGAACCGATCTCCAATGGCCAAGTGTACATCAAAGCCGCAATAATACCCTTTTGGCAACGATAAACGTATCAATCCGTATTTGCCATGCGGAGCTTATCATCTGCGCTCCAATTGTCACTTGCGAAATGCCAAGTGTCATACGTGCGGGAAAACCGACCATATTCGGAGGGGTTTAAACAGCCCCGTTGCAATCTTGCACAGCCATCGCCGAAAATGGCATAAGTCTTGTGCTCTCTTTACGACCCAAAAGTCAATGCACCCAATTCCTGTACAAAGGTGTGACAATACAGTCCGGCACAAAGCAAAAATTCATTGTTGACACAGGAAGCACGGAATCTATCATTCCTACTGCAGTGCTTAGATCAATCTGTCCCCAAGCTGCTTTCCGTCCGACATCTGTGCGATTCCTTGGTGTGACTGGGCACAAATTGACATTGATGGGTGAAGTTTCGCTGATGGTGCATTCCACAGAAAATCGTCTTGTTCCCATTCGCCTCTTAATTTTCAAAAGCAGTTCATCCATCTTGGCTTAACCGCCATTCGTGCATTGAAATATTCTGTGTTGCTCCATACAAGCACTATGCCCAGTGTGCACACACGTCTACAGCACCTGATTGTGACATGTTCCAACAACACAGGAGGGATGAACGTGCAGCCGGCCGAATTGGAAGTTGACGGTGAGCCCATTTTCCTGAAACGACTCGTAATCCCCTATGGTCAACGGGAAGGCGTGTTGAAGGCCCTTGGGAAAATGGAGCGCAACGGCATAATCGCCAGAGTCACATCCAGTGCGTGAGCAACGCCAATTGTGATCGCGATCATAAGTGATGACAAAACATCACAAATTTGTGGCGATTACCGATCAATCCTCAACCCGCGGTTACGAAAGTGTGCGGCTACCACCATGGGACCGGAGGATTTCATGAAAACATTGCACGGCAGCACATGCTTCTCGAAGGTTGCCTTGGCTGATGCGCACTTCCAGATTCCTTTCGCTCCAGCCTGCCGGCAATTCACTTCCATCAACACACCGTGGGGATTATATCAATATAATTTCCTACCGTTCGGTCTCCACACATCTTCAGGTATATTCCAGGCAGCTATTGACAAATTCATTCGCGGACTCGATAGTGTGTTAGAATATCAGGACGACATCATTGTGTTTGGTACAACGAACCTCGAGTATGACTACAGATTTCTCAAATTACTGGACGTTTCGCCCAAAAGAATGTGTCAATTCACGCTTCTAAATGCATGTTCAGTTAGCCAGAATTGGAATTTTTGAGCTTCAAAGTTAATACAAAAGGCTACCGTCCTGATCCGAGTGGCTTCCGTCCATTGACTGAACGCGAATCACCGAGAGACCAACATCAACTCAGGTCCATCATGGGATGTCTCCAGTACTACTCACGTTTCATCCCGAATATCGCCACAAAAGATCAACCGCTGTTCGCTGCTCAGTCGACTGCAGAATGGAAATGGAAGGCCAAGTGTGAACAAACCCTGTGCAAAATCATTCAAATGATAAAGTACCGATCAGTACTTGCCTCGTTCTCTCCGACGAAACGCCCAACTTTGATTACTGACGCTTCAGATGTTGGCATTGGTGTCGTACGCGAACAGGACGGAAATGGATCGCAATTCTGCGCTGCGGAGTAGAAAACTTGATTGGACAGCTTTAGCTACCGACATCACCACGTCATCCTTACTCGAACGATGGAGCGGAAAAGTTGGTGAAAACAATGAAGAATGCCATGGCCTCTGCAAGTCCAAGGACAATTTCAGAGTTGGAGATACTCCTAGACAACTTCCTGCTTCAATACCGAAATGTTGCACATGCCACCACCAAAGACAGCCCAGCGAAACTGCTCAAAGCCGGAATTTTACGGTCCTCACTACGATGCGTGGATTCAAGTGACGTCGTGTACGTCCGAGTAAACGACCTGAGACCATCAAAAGGAATCATTACCCGCAAGATCGGCCAAACTATGGTCGAGATCACAGACGTAAGGGATGCGACGGTTCATCGACGACACATCGATCAAATTCACTTCAACGAAACTCCCACTTCGGAAGAAGACCCTGTCGAAGAAACCCAGGAAACCCCTCCTTGTGACGCCGTCAACAACTACAGAAGATCAAAGTTCGCAGCCCTCTATTCCGAGAAAGTCCACCGACGACAATACCCCACTGGCACTCCGACGACCAATCAGAAGAGCAAGCCAATTCGACGAAACTCTTTAGAGAGAGGAGAGTTGTGGTGATCCAGGCCTATGAGATGACGCCTACCCTGGAGCGGAGCGTTACAGTTTGTGGACACCGGCGATCAGTCGAATTTCAAAGGTGACGTCAGTGACGCGCGTACGTGTCACTGCTTCCGACCATACACCTACACGGTTGAGTAGTAGGAACTGTTGATTGTGGTTTCCATTCAATCTTCTGGGCTTCTATCTGTGAAATACCAATAAGAGATTGAAACACCAATGGAGAAAGCTAATTAAATGCGAGGATGAAATTTCGGCGAAGCGACTAAAAATCTTTCTTTTTAAAACAGCACGTGAGTGAACAAATTGACCAAATTGATGGTTGAAGGCAATAACACAATAGCGAACTTACATGAATAGAAAAATGATTTAAGTACGAAATGAAATGTCCATGTGTAAAGAGCACTAAAATTTGTTTTGCAAATCGCTAAATTGGCAGATTCGAAATTTAACGGCTAGGAGTGACCAAAAACGGCGGAGCAGGATGCATTAAAAAGGTACAAAGAACACCCCAAAAGGATTTGAATACAAACTGGAAGAACAGAAGATGAAACTCAGTGATTACATAAGTTACCACTGGAACATTAAGGGCAATCATCATTGGGAGTTAAAACACAAATGACCGAGTTATTCCAAGGCTATCCTAAAGTAATCTAATCAATGCACAGAAACAGACTGGTTTAGAAATATATATGTGCATACGTCGCCTGACTGATTCTAAACTGTAGGCTAAACAAATCATGATACAAAATCTCCACGAGAAATAACTCATTCCTCGTTAGGTTTTTAGGGCGATTTCAGACAAGTGTGAAATATATATATTTATATACACTTGGATGAAATCCACCGTGTACATCAGTTACGAAGGATGAGAAAACCCGATTCTCTCTTTGGGTGAAATAGCAAAGGAACAAGGAGCACGAAACGGTTCTTCACAACTGTGCCTAATGACGGATGATTTGTTTCCACATCCCCGCCTTTTACATGTTCTTCTGTGGATGCTTAGACCTTCATGAAACATAGTCGATGGGCACTCGAAAATCGACTGCTGGTCGTTCGCAATAACCGGCAGAAATTCCTTTCTAGTGGATTGCTTCTTCAAAACACATACATACATTGAAACTGCGAGATTCAGCATGCCTTTTCAAACTTGCATTCCGCATTTCCGCGTGGGAAACATATAAAATACGCCTTCTCCACTTGACACCTCAACGGCAATAATTTATTGTCCTTGTGAAAGTAAAACCTATTTTCATCGACTGCTACTTTCTCTGGAGCACCTTCCCGTAAAACTTAGTGCCACCTGCTAAGTCATGATCGAAGTTCACGCAGTTAGCTTTTCTTTGCCGGAGTTGATTTAATTCGTTGCAATGGTCCTGAAAGGTGTCGTATTCCCACGGAAATCCATGAGCACGTTTTGTGCATTTCAGGTTAATTTTATATCATTCGGATGACCAGCATTAATGAGGCGAACCTCAGTCCCTCTAGAACACCTTATTTCCCTCCATCAGGGACAATTACTGTGTTCAAACCTGTCACACTTGTCTACTCGACATTCAAATCGTGATTCAGTGAAACAAATTAAACCACGCATCAGGAAACAATACTGTGAGCTTTATTAACTATACCAAATGGATTTGGGTTGATCACTACTCACGTCAGGCAATTCACAGAACGTGAACGTCTCTCCTCGTGATTAGTCAAGAAATTTGAATAAGACATCACGTGACACGGATAGATAGAGACACAGGATTGTGGAAAACTTTCGCTGAATTTCTATCAGTCACAAAGAGTTTCGATTATCGCGCTTGAACTTCAACTAACCTCGCTCACACGAATTCAGATTGCATGTTTATAGACTAAACCGTGGAAGAATTGCAAACAGTCGAGCAGGCGTAATGCTGTTACCAGCGTAGTTCCAGATTTCTCAGTAAAACTCCATATCATGGAACTGTCTTCTCAACTCATTTTGTTGCTTACCGTTTTACATTTCGATTCTGCATTATGTGCAGGAATGTTCTCCTTTACCTGCATACTGGTTAAAAGAAATTATTTTCGATTCGACATCAACCGAACGGTTCAAAATGGTACTCCGGTATAAGTGTGTGTTTGAACTTCGGCCCTAACAATACGAACTTAATTTCGTAATATTTTGCTGTATTATTTGGTTGATCGTGCCTCTTTTTCTAGGCGATAATTTCTCAATCGTTTTTCATCCTTCAAATAAATTTGAAAAAACCATACATTTTCTGACGGAAAAATAGAATGTAATAAATCTAGCATACTATATTTTACCATGTTCTCCACGATTTTCGGTACTCCTCACAACGTTGATTTCCCCGATTTTCCTCTCTCTCTCTCATCACTACCACTCTCTTGACGATGCGCTTCGTCATGAGGGCTTCCTTATCCCAATGATATAACCATGTATTCCGTTGTCTTCATCTCTGCCAAAACTTAATCAAACTTTGCCGCACTCTTGACACACTTAATCAGTGAACTTTTCTATGGATCTACATTTCATGTCATATAAAACAACCATTGCTGAAAAAAATTGCTGATTGAAACCACTCGCATCAATTATTGGCTTTTATCCCCGTCCTCACAATTAGTTTTCTGACACACGTGCGCTTGAGGGAAAATAGCAATAAGTTGAGAATGTTACAACTTTTTGCGACAAGGCTGATAGAGAACAGTGGACAACCGTTTCGTCCTTGTTTGTATGCGGCGGTAACATAAGCTGTATTTCGTTTCCCAGCTGGAATTCCAATGAAAAAGATTACAATCTTTAGCCTAAATTACATGATCGACGACTGACGGATGACATTCAGAATTTGCGTGTTCTTGTTTTGTTTTTGGGCTTACAGACGCTAGCGTCCGTGTCCCGAAAAAGACGATTTCATTGCCCAGAGCGTTCTTTGTCAACCCACACTCAAATTCAGTGACAACTTATCTATCTATCTATCTATCTATCTATCTATCTATCTATCTGTCTATTTATCTATATGTCTATCTATCTATCTATCTATCTATCTGTCTATCTATCTTTCTAGTGATATATCCATCCAATATCTATCTATCTATCTATCTATCTATCTATCTATCTATCTATCTATCTATCTATCTATGTCTATCTATCTATCTATCTATCTATCTATCTATCTATCTATCTATCTATCTATCTATCTCTGTATCTATCTATCTATCTATCTATCTATCTATCTATCTATCTATCTATCTATCTATCTATATATCTATCTATCTATCTATCTATCTATCTATCTATCTATCTATCTATCTATCTATCTGACGAACTCACCGCAATCCGGTGCTCTCCAATCCGTGCTTTGTATATTTTATTCATCAGCAAGTTCTACACATTGAGAATTGCCAATTTGATCACGGTAAACTCCGAGGGACCCAATTTCTTAAGATCTGTCAAGCATTTGGCAGTCGTTAAGACAATCTGGTGACTACTTTTTACATTGCACGTCAGAGGTTCCACGCTTCTGGCCTAAGGCAATGCACTGCC